GCTACCTTAGTAACTTTCTACAGTCAAGGTTTTTTTTTTGTTTGTTTGTTTGTTTTGCTTTTTGCTCATTTTTTTTCTCCTTATTTTGTGACTTGGTATTTTTAATGTGAGAGTTGGGCTCTGTTACTGCATTATTCCAAGCTTCTTGTACTGGGGGTCAGGATCTTTCTGATTTCTTTCGCTGGGCCTCAGGGCCTTGCACTGGAGGGGAGGGGCTATCTGCTGGCTTATACTGTGGATAGAATCTCCCTGTTGGCCTTCCCTGTCTGTGGGGTTTCACTGCTGGCCTGCCCCTGGGGCAGGGCCTTGCTGCTGGGTTGCTATGAGAACAGGGCCTCTCTGCTGGCTGGCCCTGGGAAGGGATCTTGCTGTTGGCTGGCCCCAGTGGCATAGTCCCCTGTTGACTTGCCTCAGGGGATGGGGCCTCATTACTGGTCAGCATGGGGCAAGGCCTTACTGGTGGTCTGTGCTGGGGGTGGGACCTCTGGGGTGGGGCTTACTGTGCTTCAGAGACTGCTGGCTTGGGGTGGAGGGGAGAGCAGAGCCTTGCTGCAGGACTGTCCTGGGGCTTGTACCCTTGGTGCAGACTCCCCTGCTGTGAGGCTGGTTTCTGCTCTCGCACCTTGCTTCCCAACTACTCCAGTGAGACAGACTTTCCTGCAGAGCTGGTAAGCTGCTTTCCTGCTCCTAAATCAGTTCCAAGGCAGTTTTTCAAGTTTTTTGTAGGGGAATTTGGGAGAGTTCCAGGGAGTTCCTGCCTCACTCTGCCTCTTGGCACTAGAAGTCTCTACTCTATTTAACTCTGAGCTTATAAAATGGGCTTTATAATTAGGATGTTTAAACTACAGTCTTGAAGTCAAACCAGACATTATAGATCAACCTTCCATCCAATAACAGCTCACATTCATATCCCTTTCTACAGTTTACAAGGCACTTAAAACAACCCTGTAGGTGGATAATGTCCCTGTATCATTCCCCTTCTTAATAAAATTCAGTGGCTCCTCATTACCTCTAAAATCCAATTCTGATTGGCATTTAAAAACCCTATTCCCAACCTATATCCTCTCCAATCTTATTACATATAGTTTTCCCCTTCAAGGCAAGAAGGTGGTGCTGTGCATAGAGCACTAAACCTGAAGTCAGGAAGGCCTGAGTTCCAATACCACCTCAGATACTCACTATCTTGGTGACCTTGGATAAGTCATTTAATATGGTTTGCCTCAGTTTCTTCATCTGTGAAATGGCAATAATACTAGCATTTATCTCTCAGGGTGGTTGTGAGGACCAAATGAGATAATATTTGCAAAGCACTTTGCAAACTTTAAAGCACTATAGAATGCTGGCTATTACTATTATTCATGCCTGTTATGGTCCAGTCTAACTTCTCTTCTTGCTTGTTCCTCACCCTTAGTATTCCATTTTCTGTTATGATGCTTTTGCATGTGGCTGTCCCTTCTGTGTGAAAAAGACTCCCTTCTTGCTTCTAGCTACCTGCTTTCTTTCAAGGCTCATTTCCTCCCTTCATCTCTTCCACAAGCTGCTGGGTCCTTCACCCTCAAATCTTGGTGGACAGCTGCTTTTTGTATCTACCTCTCTATGTAAATGTTGTCTCCCCAGACTAGATTGACAGCACAGATATTTTTTTAACCTATATATTCCCTAATGATTAATATAGTACCAGTACCTGGTACACAGACACTACTGATTGAATAAAGAAGAAACTGAGGCTTAGAGAGGTCATGTCACTTGGCCATCATCATACAAGTCAGAAGGGGGATCAAATGCTGATCTTCCAATCTTAGGGTCCCATTTTCTATTCATACCCTCTCTAACATCTTTTGTTATTGTTCTGTGGTGTCTGACTCTAAGTACATTTTGTTCATGGGGATTTCTTGGCAAAGACACTGAAGAGGTTTGCCATTTCCTTCTCCAGTGTATCTCCATTTTACAGATGAGGAACTGAGGTAAATAGGGGTTAAGTGACTTGCCCAGGATTGCACAGCTAGTAAGTGTCTGAGGTTGGATTTGAACTCAGATCTTTCTGACACCAGGCCTGGTGCTCTTAACTACTGTACCACCTAACTGCCCTTACATTTAGTCAAACAACCTGTTTGAATATCTCCAAAGACAGGCAGCTCAGTACCTCTTAGCTAATTTCTTTGATGGGTAGCTCTGGCCATTTATTCTTATGATAAGCTGAAATCTGCCTCCTAATTTAAACTCACTAAGCTTAGTTCTGGGTTCTGCAGCCATACAACACAAACCTGCTCCTACTTTATCATGACAGCCTTCTCAATATTTGAAGACTTTGAAGAACTGTTTCTTAGTTTTCTCTTCTCCAGGTTAAAAAGCCACAGCTCCTTCAACTTTTCCTCCTATTATGTGATTTTGACAGGCCTCTGCCATCCTTTGCAAATCTTCTTTGGCTACAGGTAGCTTGTCAATATCAATTCTTCTGAAAGGTGAAATGCTGAAGTAAACACAAAATCCAGATGTGCTTGACCAGAGTTGAGTATAGTGCAATAGAATAATATGATATACATAATAATATAATATACATAATATAATATGGTATAATATGTGATATGATATAATACAATATAATATAATAACGATTTAATAGATTGCTCATCAAATAAGTCAGAAGGAATGAAACCTGAATGGGAGGTTGACTGTAAATAGTTCTCTTAAGACATTGGCTTAAAACTTATGATTTTTTTAAAAATGTGGATGTGCATTTTCAGAAAAAGAAGGAAAAAAACATGGAGCAGTTGCATAGCATTGATTTTTTTTTTAATTATTTTGTGCCGTGGTTTGACCACAGCATCAAGAAACAAGCAGAAAAAATTTGTATTTCATCACTAACAAACAGCATTTAGAGCAACATGTCTCTTTAAAAGTATTGCAGTTACAGACCTTAGGTCTAAGAACTACATCACCATTGCTCAGTTAAAAGAGGCAGATAACACAACAGTTGGAAATCTCTTCCTGCATATAACGGGGAGTTAGGCTGAAAAACAAAACATGAATTGGTATGTTAAAGGAAACATAAGACTTTGACAGAGGCCGGTCATTAGAGCTTACATGAACAACTATGGAAAAGTTCCAATACAGGTGTAAACGTTTTATTAGTAGATTTGTTTTACAATAAAAATTAAATGAACTAAATGTGTACTTTACATCCTTTAAAATAGATTTAGATAAGTATATACTTTGAGAATGTGATTTCTGAAAGCCATAAATTGAACAACAGTCCTATACCAACAAAGCAGGTTAAAAATGAACCAATGTCTCAACAGCAAAACTGAAATCTCAATTAGATTGGTGTGGCACAAGGAAGCAATATTGTAAAAGTAAACTCTGGTTTTGTTTCATATCTCTGGAACCTGAGCTTTTCATGATGGCTTTCAGATAGTCAGGCAACAATTCCCCTACACCCCCCCAAAAAAAAGTTTTAACTATTCTTATGTATGGATAAAAATGAATAGGATCAGCTTTGTATTTTGGACTAGTCAGCAGTAATGTGGCTGAGGCTGTTACTATCGAATTCTCTTAAAGCACTGATGCAGGCTATAGCACAAAGTAAACCACAAAGTTACAAGTTGACTTGAGGTCCATGGAGATGCTTGTTAGACATTCTTTCTCTTTTCACTGTCCTTTCAAAGCAGATCACTGATTTAAAAGGAAAAAAAAATTGGTCCATTCAACATATAAGGGTAGTTTTGTGATGATGCTGTTGGTTTTTCTGTACAGCAAAACTTTTTGTTTTTCATTAGAAATTTTTCAGAAGTGGACACTTTAAAAATATCACAATGCAAATAAAACTCTGGAAGTACTCAAATAGAATTAACATGTCCTCTGGGAGACTAAAGGAGTAGTTGTGGAAACAGGAAAGCTATGTAGATTTCCACTCAATGAAACAGAACCAGAAAGGACATGTCCAGGATACAATATATAGCACCTGGCTTCAGAGACTTTAAATCCTAATGAAGGCTCTAATAAATACAGTGGGGTGGGAATCTGAGGGGTTTTTTTCCCTTTGATGACATTAAGATAAATAGTTGAATCGAAGCTAAATGTGCCAAGGATTACAATCTGACTTTCAGAATGGAGCCGCACACTCTACTGTTGCATACTGTGAGACTTGATTGGACATTTAGCTACAGCCATGACTTAATATCATCTCCGACCTATCTATTCAGCAGTTGGCTATTAAGTGTTGTAGTTCCTATCAGAAGCCAACAGAAGTAGAGAGAAAGTGTATTGGCTCTTGGTTTCCGCTATAGAAAAACTCTTCATTTGACTGTTCTGCTAATTCCCTCCTAAAGACTGGGGGGGGGGGGAAGGCAGGCTGGGGAGGGAAGGGAGAACTTTGCAGAAATTCTCAGTTAAATTAAGAATGGGATCTGTATTCTAAAATAAAAGTCTGTTTTTCCTGAGGTATTCTTTCTCTATGAACTATGTGAATTGCTCACAAGCTTAACAGCCAGAGCTACTTTTTTTTTTGAGAAAGAAAAAGGCACAGAGAGACTTGTAACACAGACAGTCAAAAATACTTCTAGTTGAATAAAGCCCCCTGACAACAGGTTGATTTCCTTATGCTTCCATCTCTTTAAAAACACATACACACACGCGTGCAAGTGCACATGCTTGCACACATATATACACACAAAACTGTTGGACTTTTCACTGGGCTTTGCGCTTTCATATGACAAGGTGGGGATGTGTCTTCTGTCTGATAAGGAAGTTGGAAAAAAACCAAGATCTCTTCTGACCAAAACAAAAGCAGCTAATACTGGTCCACCTTCATAACAGCAAAATGGCGGCTGAAATGAGACACAATGAATTGTAACATTAAAGCTGTGTGTGTTTGTTTAAAAAAATCATCTTCACAGCAAAGGTGCAACAATTGATGGCTATCTATACACAGGCTGGTCAAACTGTCACTTATTTTTGGGATTTTTTTCCATGTGTTATAATATTGATATTTAATAGGAAAATAAACTACATAGACTTTATTTGTATGCATCCATTTGTAAATTTTCTTACAAAAGAGGACAAAGCACATAGGCATTCACAAATTCTATGCCATTCTTTTAAAATTGGTATCACCTATACATTATTTTACAGTATTAACATTTTTGTTCTACCCATTGGGTAGGTAGGATATGTGCATAATATATTCAAGTTATATACAGCACCTTACAAATAAAAACAGAAGAGACCAACAACTTAAAAAGCACCATTTTAAGTGAGGCACGACAAAGGTGGGAGCATAGAGTGCAAGGTAGGGAATGGGGTGGGATTAGGTTCCTAATTTTGCTTAGACCAGAGAACAGGAGGCACCTTAGTTGCTTACAAACTACTAACATGCATATTTCTTTGAAATGATATATGTATAGTGTGTCTATATGCTATGTCTAGCTATAAGCCCAACCACACTACAGGATGGCCCAGCAACAAAATGAAGCAAAATACTAAAGGATAAAAGGGAGACAACTGCTTCCTAACCAAAACTCCTGCCCCTCCCATTTTTTAATTAGAAAGCTAACACACCCAAGCAAGGAAAGCAGCAGCAGCAGTAGCAGCAACAAGCAAAGGACAGACACACACAGTGAGCTCTAGCAGTAACTGACAGTGTGTGTGTGTGTGTGTGTGTGTGTGTGTGTGTGTGTTTAAACCTCACAAAGATGCAGTGCTTAAATGAAATTACACTAAATGGTGGTGCCTAAAACAAAATACAGAACATCGCAAAGTAGAAGTGAAGTTGAAGCACATTTTCCTAGGGTTGGCTGCGGCCACTCTCTGGAGCTCCTTCAGACAGGTCCTGTTAGCCTGATAGCAGCAGGGACTCATTGGAAGATACAAAATGCAGGCCAGACAATAGCCACCAAGGGGATGCCTTAGGCTAGTGGCACATGAGCCAGTGACCACTGTCAGGGGGATTATGTTGTACAGTGGATTCCTGTTCGAGAACACAATGGAGTGAATGGCCCCTGGTATCCCTTCCAATTCTGACATTCTATGAATCGAAGTTTCTGTGGGAAATGGGAACTGGAGGGAGAAGGGCTATTTCTCAAGGACATGAATGATGAGGTGTAGAATTAAGGGAATGAGAAGGTAAAAGAAAACTTGCTAGTAACTACCTACTTTCAAGATACATTTTATTGACCTGCATCAAGAAAATGAGGTACAGGTAATAGAAAAAAAAAGAGGTGAAAAGGTTAGGTGTGGGCCTGCTCCCAAGCTCTGCCACTGGCCCGAGTTTAGGTCTCCCTAGTATTAGCATAGGGAGAGGTATTTTGAACAAATACATATATATCTGCCCTGGAAAGTTTATGTCCAAGCAGCAGCTTTATTTCTGTTGTGAGTCTTTTTAGAAAGGGAAAACAGGTTTAAGTTGTTTAATGGAAAGCTGCTGATTTTTTTTTCAGGAAAGTGTTTTTGGCCCACATGTTCAAATCCAGAGTAGTAGTTGGGATGCCTGGAAAGTTCTTCCCCTCCTTATACTGTACCACTTTTCAGAGAGTTTCAGATAGGTGCAGGCTTTATAAGTCCTTTGGGATAGTTTAGTAGCAAAAATGGAAAATAGCAAAGCAAACAGGCAACACCAAACATGTCAAGACTTAACAGTCCTTCAATCAAGAAAAGAACTGAATGAGTGACATATAGAATTCACCCTCTGTTCAGACACAAGTGCTGTTGAGTTATTATTGACACCACAGTGGTGGTTTTTCTTTAGACTGAGATTGTGTGCTTTTGAGTTTCTTTAAGACTGTCCTCTCACCATGTAACTAAGGGAGTCTTAGGATTTTTTCTAGATATCCCTCCTTCCTCCCACCCCACTTCACCTCCTAAAAAGAACAGTTGGATGGAAGATGCACTATTATTACTCTGACAAAGAAAATCATTGATTTGGTAAGTAAGGTAGTTTGAAATCACCTTTCCTTCTTTCTCCCTTTCCCCTTTCTACCTGTCCCCCACCAAGAGCAAAGTGCTTAAAATGTACTTTCTTCATGTGACCTTCTCATTTCTGGGATGATCAGAAAGGATTGTAAAGGAAATGCAAAGTGAGGGAAAGAAAAGGGGATAGTAGAAGGCTTAAGATGTATTCATTCACCTGTGCCCTGGGATCTTCCACATACATATAAAATCTGCACAAGCAATCTCACACATTCTTTGCATCCCTAATGCTGGTGATCAAGGAAGCCATAGTTTCATTGGAGGTGGGGATGCAGAGCATTTATACAGGGAAGTGGTCTGAGTCAGTAAGTCCTGGGTTCAAGTCCTTTCCTTTAAATATTATAGCTTAAGAAAGTGACATAACCTCTCAGTACCCTTGGGCAACCCTCCAAGGCTGTAAGTTGCAAAACTGATGTCCTGATAGAAAAGAGTTCCAATACATTGATTGAATCACTGATCCAGACACCCCACCTCCCCTTACTCCTCCCTAAATGTTTCATTAGTAACCACTTTTTCCTATATCACATGAGTTTAGGCTAGGAGCATGCCAAGTATACACATGTAAGAAGACTTCTCATCATATCAACTGTTTCGAAACCAGGTGCTACAAAGGAACATTTGTCCATTTTCTTTTAACCTTGTGGTTTAAAATAGGCTTACTTTAAAATTCCCAAGTTTTGTATAATCCATGTTTTGCATTAAAGTACTATTTTGATGTTTATAAGAACTGGGCCTGGGCTCTAAAAATTGATTTCTGAAACTTCACTGGCTTAACAAAGGTGTGGGTCGGTGGCAGGCAACTGCTCCATCATGCCTCAGGGCACCAACCCCTGGAAGCTCAGGTACTGATGACCTTTCCCAGAACTCTCCTCTACAGCCCAATTACTGGTCACAGAGATGCTCAGGCCTCAGAAGAGCTCAGGGTCCCACTCATGTTTCTTGCAAACAAAAATACCCCAAACGCCAAAAGCCACGACTGTACGCCAGAACCCTAGGTCTCTTTGAATTGTATCTAGGGGTTCCTTGATAATAAATAAGTGTCCCTGGGTTTACACTATCTGCTTCAGCTCTACCATCCAGGAGGAGCCTAAGGTGAATCCTAAATTAAAACCAGCGATCTAAATCAGGCCTTTGGGCAATTGGAGTTTTAATATAGTTCTTGCTTTTTTTTTAGGCAGGGGATTAGTACCATTCCTATTCCTAAGTTAAAAAAAAAGTCATTTTAATAAACATTGACCAAAGACCATTATTTGGATTAAGACCTATCTGAATTGAGAAAATGTAGTTTTGTTACTGCTTCAGGCAGTGTGGTTCAATGAGAAGAGAACATTGGATCAACAGGACTGGTCTCACATCTGGGCTCTTCTATTTACTCTCTCTATGACCTAGAACAAATCTTTTCACCACTCTGTGCTTCGGCTTCCCCAGCTGTAAAATAGGGCTTGGATTAGATGACCTCTAAAGTCCCTTCCAACTCTAAATCCATGATCTTATAATTTCTTCTTATTTTCCAATTCAGAAGTTAATTCTAATGCCACTCTGGTGACCTCCAAGATTCAGTGACTGAAAAGATATGCTGGTTGCCAATCCCTTTTCTCCCCACTTATACACAGAAATATCTATTCCCAATTATCATTACAATATCTATTCCAACAATAATGAAAGAAGAAAGTTTGCCATTTGTTTGCAGGGCTATGAACTAAACTAAAGGTTTATCATCTTAGCACACAGATCCCAGAAAGAGCTGATGAAGTTGCTACCTTTGCAAATATTTTCTTGTGCCAAGTAGAAGTAAATATTCAGAAACCACTGAGTATTGCAATGATGAAGATTTACTCCCTTTGCTTAAAATGACAGGAAATGTTTGGAATACTCTTCTCCTTCATGACTTTCTTAGTTGACTTTCACTCAGATTTCATGGTGTCAAGAGGTATGAGTCTTTGACACCACCACATGCATACCTACCTATGTAATCAAATTAAATATCCTCTGACAGGATTATTATAGACAGAGTGGCTCACTATTTGTACAACAAATAATTATCTAATTCTAACCTGACAATTAGAATATGCTTTTTGCTATAGTAGACAAGTTATTCTTGGCATCTTTCACAGATGAAGCTCCAAGGTAATTTTAAAAAAGCTTATGGGAGCTAGAAATGATAGATACAAAACACATGGGTTCTGAACAAGGAGTGTGAGGGGCATATTTAAACAGACTTAATCTTTCAGGAGGCCTCCAAAACAGTAGGGAAGATTTAAACTGGTCCCATTTCAAGGCTCTTGGGATAACATGCTAGGCATTATTGGCTCACTCTAAGGCAGCCTCCTCAAAGACTCCAAAGGTGTAGCTGTGATTGAATTTGGTCTCAGAATTTCTAATCTGCCCTCCCTTTGCACATTCCCTAGCCAGGATTTTCAACAGAATGGGGAATGAGGCTGCCCATCTTTCTCCCTCTCTTTTGTCTGGGTCATGCCAGTTCTGTGGGCATCACCAAGAGACATGGACGCTAACAAAGGAATGTGCCTTCAACTCACTCCTCAAAAAAGGGCAAGAACTCCTTAAGTAGAGCAGATGGGTTAGACCCTCCTCCCTCTGCCTCCGTCATAGTTTAGATCCAGAAATAACCAGGCTAGGATTAATAAGAAACAGGACTTTAGATACTAATACAATCACTCACATGTTCAGACCTGAATAGCACAAAGTCACCTCATGACAAAATTACCTCCAGAGACTCACAAACAGCAAACACAAGTTACACATATGCTGATTTGGCATTAAAACTCTGCATAGATCAAATAGTCACTTTAATAATCAGGATTTCAATCACATTTTCTCATGTGCAGAAGTCCCACAAAAATTGAACCTCCCCAAACCAGGATGGGTGCTACCATTACAGTACTTCACTACAATGCACTCAGATGCTGCTGTCAGGAAAGAAATCTGTTCAAGACCATAGGAAAAATAAAAGAGACTTTTCCCCCTTTCTAGTGAGAAGTAATACATGTAGATATCAGAAATATTTAGACTAGGACTAATGCTACTGGTTCAAACTTAATTTCCTAATTGCATTTCAAGTGCATGTTGTGCTTTTATTTTGTGTTCTCAAAGTCACTACAGCCGTCCTTCAACTGTTCTGTTATTGGCCTTCCTTCATGCAGGGGAAGTGCTGAGTGAAATCCTGGGGGTGGGACAACAAAGCCATCCTTCTCTACAATGCCTTTTGGGGGCAAGGGACAATCTTAGCAAAAGTCAATGACTTTTGACCAAGACTACCTATATGACTTACCAGGTGCTGCCTGGTGAGCCATCTTCTGTGGTTTCCAAGAATATGCAAGCCCCTTGCCCACCTAGCATCCTTCACACCATCTGAGGAATAGGCTGAAGATAGAGAAGTGTGACTGCTGGGGACTATTCATTTATACTGACTGAGTCAGAAAAAAATAAAACAACAACAACAACAAACTGTCCTATGATCCAAACCTATTACTAAAAAACAAAAAACAAAAAGACCCCCAAAACCCTTGCATTTTCAAGCAATTTATTGCATATTGTCAGGATATGTGACTTAAATATATTTCAGGCTATGGTGAAGACAAAAGCTCCAAAGCCTTTTTTTTTTTAATGTATACTGAAGATATTAAATTGTCCAAAGGAGAAGTGTGGCAGCATTTCCTCAAAGTTAACATAGAAATTTAGTGTCCGGTTTTCAGTTTTGTTTTTAATAAAATATTCAGTCTAAAATTGTAGTAAGAATAGCTAAAACTATGTAAGTTAGAAATGCTGGAATTAAAATTTTGCTATCTTCCATCCAAGAGCCTCCAAGATGCCTCAATGATGCCCTGTCATTTTAATGTCTGTTATTGCAAGGATGAGCTCTACACATTTCTTGATTTCGGAAAGTTGGTAGACAATAGGCAAAACCCTACAGACCAACCAATTCCCCTTCTCTTGAGGCTATGGGGCAGATACCTCTAGAGTATTCCTCAGGCCTAATATTTAATCCACAGGTGAAGAGACAACAGATAAAACTTCACATAAAACAATTCCCCTCATATATATATATATATATTTTTTTCTAACATTAAGATAGTGCAACTTTTAAAAACACATTTATCACAACACAAATGAATTCCTTGCATTCATCTAATTTCCCCACTTTATATCTTGGCACACAAAACAGAAATTTTGATTCATATTTTAAAAACAAAACAAAACAAAAATTCCACACCCTGGGAGGAAAAGTAAACTGGCCAATTCTTCCCCTTGATCACATAGTAATACTTTCTTCTTTTCTCTCTGCCATTCAGTCAATAGAAAAGAAGCCTTAGTGGCCTTGTTTATGTGCTAAGTTTCCTTTTAGAATTAAATAATTCAAATAATCTTTGTGGGTTTTGTTTTCACGGTTTTTGTTAAAGTATTATCCCTCCTTCCTTCCCTCCTGCCACCCCAACCCCCCTTCCCCCCAAAAAAGCCACTGTTCATGGTCAACCTGAATGGAAGTCTGTAATATTTCAATCCACTTTGCATGCAATTCCCCTGAAAGGAATCAGAAACAAAGAACACGTTTGCACATTTGGTTTTACTCAGGTGTACCATGTAAAACTTCAAAACATTGTGCATAGGAGGCAGGCCTATGGGCTGCCCTTTCCTATTGGTTTCTCTTCTCTTCCGCTCAAGTGCCCAGAGGAGGAATTCAGACAAGGTTCCCAGGTTTCCTGTCTTTGCCTTTGATAGGTACTATTGTGCTCTCTGAATTGTTCTGCTGTAACTGAAGTCTGCTTCCCCTCTGGGTGTTGCTGTGCTGGTGATGGAAAAAAGAGGAGCCAGGGTAATGACCCATCACCTCACTGTAAGTTGGGGGTGGTCCTTCCATCCTTCCGTTACTGCTACAGTTGGTTGCACTTATGCCCGAATTGCTGCTTGGTGGGCATGGGCCCCCATTGTACATAGAAATATCTATCAAATCACTGTCAAATATAGTTCGGTTGGGTGGGGCCCTGACAGATTCTCGATTGAGTTCCATCTGCTGTTCAGGATCCCGAAGCTGCAGGGTACAGGGTCCCTGGTATGGCGGTGGCTCCTCCCCATCAGAGAGGGAGATCGTGGGAGGAAGATCAATCTGATGCTGTACATAAGGATAAGTGGGCTGGAAGCGGCTGAAACGGTCCCTCTGCATAAATGATGGGGCAGTAAATCTGTCCCTAGTCCGGGGAGCATACATAATCTGGAAGGGAAAGAAACTCTTGTTAGAGGAAAATATTACTTTTAAAGGAAAGGGAGAAAACAAAGATTACTCTGTGTTATAAATATATAATGGATAGAAATACACCTGCATAGAAAGATAGTATATAACACATGTATGTGTACATTGTTATATATAATTTACATACATATATACATGTGCATATTTATATATGTATATGTATATACTTGTGTATACATTTTTTTCCTCCAAAGAGCCAAATACTTGGAACATGCCATTCCCCTACTGTTCTGGATACATGGAAGTTCCTCTTATTTTGCTCTGATTTAACCTGGTGGGGAGCAGAATAGAGAGAAGAGCTTGGTAGGGAAGAAGAAACCAACACAGCTTCCCCTCTGCCCCGAACCTTTATATATACATACATACATATATGTGTGTGTGTGTGTGTGTGTGTGTGTGTGTGTGTGTGTGAGTGTATGTGTCTGTATTTATAGTAGGGTAATGGAACATTCCAAATAATTGGCTCTTTAGGTTAATCAAGTATCTCCAAATATAACATACATGGATTATTAATTACTTTAATTCCATATCACGCACAGATTACTTTAATTCTTCAAGTATCTGCTATTTCATGTTAATCAATCCATCAATGAACAAGATATAGGCAACTAGGTGGTACAGCAGATAGAGGGCTGGGCCTGGAGTCAAAAAGACTCATCTTCATGAGTTCAAATCTGGCCTCAAGACAGTTACATCTATGTGACCCTGGGCAAGTCACTTGACCTCATTTGCCTTAGTTGCCGCATCTGTAAAATGAGCTGCAGAAGGCAATGGCAAACCATTCCAGTATCTTTGCCAAGAAAACCCCAAATGGGGTCACCAGAAGTCAGGCATGACTAAAAAATGACTAAGCAACAATTAGTTATTGTTCAGGACAAAGCAGTATTCTTTTTCTTGCAAAAGATGAGTTACTTAGACTTAGTTCTGTTGACAACTAGCAGTGTGACCTTGAACATCAGCTCCTCTGAACCAAGAAGCAGTGTGGCAGAGTACAGAGAGTGCTAGGCCTGAAGTCAGGAATACTAAATTCATATTCCACATGTCTGTGACCCTGCGGAAGTCGCTTAATCTCTTTAACACCCACTTTCTTCATCTGTAAAATGAGCAGGTTGTACTAGATGGTCCCTTCCATTTCTACATGTATGATCCTACAAACAGCTGATTCTCTAAAGTCCCTTCTAATGCTAAAATTGTCTGGATGAATGATTCTGTCATTTCTCAACATATTCCATTTCTAGTTTGAGAAGACCTTGAAGGTGCCTCATCTCAGAGGTGTCAAACATGCAGCCCATCACGAGTGCATCAGAACCAGATGAAAATGTAAGCTAGGCAGGGGAAATATTTAACAAAATAAATAAATTATAATACAATAGCAGTAACATTACATCAACATGCAGCCTGCAGAGAGCTTTATGTACCGATTAGTGACCCCCATTTCTATTTGAGTTTGACATCACTGATTTCTACATAAATAGCCAGTCACCAAACACTTCCATCTTTCAGGCCCTTGTCATCACAATTCCATGAATACCCCTAGTGAGTATCTTTTGTTTCTTCTGATCTCTATATGTCACAAGTCCTCAGTGGTGCACCTGCTTCTTTATCATATTTGCAGTCACCTGAATTGACTTATGTGTGTTGTGTCTCAGTCTGTACTCTCTTTGTATGTTTGTCCCCTGATGATTTTGCTATATTGATAGTTATTTGTTATTTGTCAGGTATTTAAACCTGTTTTCTCCCTCTGCCTCTTTACTCCTTCAGGCTCCCCTCAGTAGACACTGTCGCTATACAACACAGACAATACTCCCAAATGACAGACTGAGGACCTTGCAAAGCAATTTAAATACCATACCTCTGACGCAGCCTGCCTCGGCACGGAGCTGTCTGAAGGCCACAAGCACCCTTCCTAGCCATGGTGATGAGAGAGAAAAAACACACAAACACAGGGAGAAATGTCATTAACATTACTAACTGCCAATAGCAGCAAACATTGTTTATTCAAATATGGGAGCATAATAATTTTAAGAAAAAATAACATCTGTTAGAATAGAGATGGTCATCAAAGGACTTTTTTCCCTTTCATGGTTGAATTTGAAAAGCAAAGGCCCATGGTGACAAAAAATATTGAAAAATTTAAACTTCCTTTACAATACATTTGAAGTTAGGTGTTAACTAAAAAGATTTTTACTTGTACGTACACACCCCAAATAATTACTGTTTTTGTCTACATGTTTAAGGGAAATTCACATATTTCAATCTAGTACTGCTCAGTTTAGGGTTAAAGGTATGAGAAAGGTGAAAGTAGAGACAATCTTTCATCACCAAAGTGACTAACTTTACTTTATGTTTTTATTTTATATAGAAATAGGTTACTTTATACAGAATTGGGATTTTCTGAGCCAAGAAAAAGCAATAAAACTTAGCTTAAGTGAGCAAGACTTTTATAGTCTCTCTGGATTTCAAAGTCACCAAAACTGATTCTCAAAATCTCAGTGTCTTACAAATATCTTCTAATAAGTCATCCTTTAATTCTATTTATCACAAGTCAGAGATGATCTAATATCCGATGGCTAAAAGTGATATTTCAAAATATATTACCAAATGAGAAAGTGACAAAAGTGACCTTAGTTGACATCTACTATGTGTATGATGAATGGGCAATCTTTTATTTTTTTTTCTTAGACTTATAAGACCATAGAGTTGGAAGGACCTCAGCAGGCACCTAGTCCAATCCTTACTGAAAGCATTTTTCTCATCTAAAATATCCTGAAAAGTATCATTCAGCATTTCTTTGAACATTTTATGTGATGGGAAATTTACTGCTTAGTAAAGTAGTCCACATCAGTTTGGTATAGTTTTGCTAGGAAGGTCTTCCATATATGAAGCTGAAATAACCCTCATTTTATCTGATCTTAGTTCCATTCCCTGAAGCTAAGCAAAATAAATCTAAAACTTCTTCCACAAGAAAGCCTTTCTAATATTTTAAAGGCAGCTTTTATGCCTCTCCCTTCAAGTCTAATGGAACATCAGGACACGTGGTTTCAAATCCTAACAAACACTACTAGCCTTTTGATAATGGACAGGTCTCTCAGCCCACTCAGCCAGTTTTCCTCATTTACAAATTGGGATCATACCACTGGCATTCTCCTCTATCTTACAAAGTTGTCTGAAGTCAAACCACCCTTTTGTTTGCTTTGGGTCCCGCTGGATGTGAGATTTTGTAGGGAGCTCTTGCTGCAAAAGCTCCGTTTAGATAAGGAGGAGGATGTGTAACTTACAGCATTAGAGAGTTCCATGGGAACCGAGTTGAGTGATCTGCCCACAGTTACTCAGCTAACATATGTCAGAGGCAAGACCTGAATTCAAGTTCTTCTGACTCCATACTGCTGCCTCTTAGAGGCAGCTAGGTGGTGCAGTAGATGGAGTGCCAGGTCTAGAGTCAGGAAGAACTGCGTTCAAATCTCACCTCATATACTTACTAGCTGTGTGACCCTGGACAAGTCACTTAACTTCTGATGCCTCCATTTCCTCAACTGTAAAACAGGGATAAAAATAACACCCACCTCACAAGGTTATTGTGAGGATCAAATGAGATATTTACAAAGTGCTTAGCACAGTGCCTGGAATGTAGTAGTCACTATACAAATGCTTGTTGTGTCCTTCCTTTCTTCCTCCCACCCACATTATTTTCAAGGCTAAATATTTCTGATGTCTTCATTAGGCCATGTGACCACATTGAGGAGGCAATATTTATTGCTACCAGAGCAAACTCCTCTTGATTTAGTTCCTTTAAAAGCAGGTGAGGAACACTGGCAAAATGAATCCATCACAGAGCAAGGACTGCAGAAGATGTGATTCTGCCTCTAAGCCTCATGGGCAGTGAAAAAAAAGACTATTGAAATGCTAACAAGAAGAAAGTCATTTTTGCTGGATTATCATCCATGTGAGGGGTAGTATGGTGTAGAAGATGGAGAGATGGCCTTAGAGCCAGGAAGACCTGAGTTCAAATCCCACCTGTGACACATACGGGCTCTGTGACCCTGGGAAAGTCACATAACCTCTCAATGCTCAGGCAACGCTCTAAGATGATATATGCATTTTGCAAAGAAGTTGCTGCTGAACTGCACTGGCAGAGGGTGCTTCCTCAGCCAGGAGTTCTCTATGCCACTGAAATCAGAGAACCAGTCTTTCCTTATCCTGCTTGGTATACATCTTATATTTACTTACCTCTGCATATATTGTTTCCTTCTAATAGAATATATGCTCCTTGAAGACAGGGACTGCTTCATTTTTGTCTTTGCATTCCCAGCACCTAGTACAGTGCTTTGCACATAGTAGGTGCTTAATAAATGCCTGTTGAACTCGTTAACAAGCATTTATTAAATGCCTATGGTGTATATAGCACTGTGCTAAGCATTGGGGAAAGACTGAAAAGCAACAACATGTGGCCTGCAAGGATCCAGTTCTGTTTAAGTTTGACACCATTGTCTTACATTACCTTCATGTTCCACAATTTATTTAGTCATTCCCCAATCAAAGGGCATTTGTCAAGCAGCCATTTCAAACACACCACATTACGTAAGAGACAAATAAAAGTACAGAACACAAACAGGGACAGTTGATAAGAATAAAGATTTGGAGCAGAAATGGACCTCAGAGATCATATAGTATCAGGAGTGGGGAACCTGAGGTCTTGAGGCCTCATGTGGTCCTCTGGTCCTCAAGTGAGGCCCTCTGCTTGAATCCATTTGACTGGTGGATTCAGTCAAAGGGCTGCCCTTGAGAGACCACAAGTTCCCCACCCCTCATTCCAATCTCCTCATTCTATAGATGAGGAAAATGATCCCCAGAAAAGTTAAGATTTACTCAAAGTCACATAGGTAGCAAGTACCTGAGTGGGAATTTAAAAACAGGTCACCCAACTCCAAATCCAATGCTCTTTCTACTGTTTTGTGCTGCCTAAGTTGAATACATATAGCTTAATGATATCTGTTTCTAGGCCTCCCCTTGGACATTATTTCTAACCATCACAGTGACTACCACAATGACATTGTTCCTTTTGAAAATAACAAAGATGACAATAACATGCAACGGGATGTAGAATTCAGAGACTCAATCGAATGTAGTGAAGTTGGGGGATTTTCCTGTAATGCCTCAGAATTAAAATGAAAACAAAAATAAAATTCTGGACTACCTATATTTTGGTGCAGTTATCAGTTCAATGTCCAGTGATAAGATTAAGATTGATTCAGCCAGAAATTCTGCACATTTAGGTATTACCACTTTTATGCCGCTTTTTTTCTTTTTATTCTTCATTCATGTTATGTGTGCATGGGTGGACTTTGGCCCAATTTAATTAAATATTGGGTCACTTTTGCTCAAAGAATGTATCCACGGAAGGTTGTTCAAATTTCTTTGCTGGGACAGGCTAGCCATTTGTCTATGTTTTAGGTATCTAATTTTAGTACTTGGGGTACCTCGCTCTGATATGTGGTACCTAGGTTTAAGGTACCCTGTGCGTCTGTATCTACTCAATATCACAGTTCATTAGTTGGGTCAATGCATTTATTTCTTCCCTGGTTAACTAGAGGACACAATTAGTTCAAAGCAACAGAATTAAAAATGTGAAAAAATAAAGAATAGAACATTTACCCCATATGTTGAAGTATCTTTCCTCCAAATACATACAATATCCTTAGTAAGGATGGGCAAGCATGGGGATCACATGAGGTGCACATTCATGGAGCGGCAACTCACGACTTCTGGTGACATCATCATGCTACTTTTTCTGGGCCTGCTCCTGGCTGAGTATTGGGCACTGCTCTTTGTTGAACATGTCCCTAATTGGTCTTAGAGTGTCTGTTGGGAGAACGCTCCCTGATACCTTTTATTTGCTATCAGCTTTTGGACTTCATCTTTTCAGAGTGATCAGGGAAGTCATGTCAGCTCTAGTATGCTAGGGCAGTGGTCTCTAAAATGAGGCATGTGCCTACAGGTAGAGTTATTGATCAGCTGCAGGGTGGGAAGGTGGGTTGCATCTCCTTATGCTGTGATAGCCAGCCATAGGTCTTGTTTCAATGCAACCGCATCCACCCCTATGAGACATCAGTTCCTTCGTTTCCAAGATTCCAACTTCCCCTCTTCTTAACTGGGTTTGGCCCTCAGGCAATGATAACAACTTCTACACAGGAACCCACAGCAGTAGCTATATGGGTGTCACTGGGAAAATTCCTCTCCTCCCAATATCCTACATTTACTGACCCCTCCCCCAATCATTTCACAGCTGCAGCAGGTTGGGGCTTGCCACAGCTACTGATGAAAAAGAGCCCCACCCTCCACCCCCATTTCGAGTGGGACAGAGTGTGTTGCATAGGAAGAATAGGCATGAATGAGTCACAATACGCATTTCAGACTTGTATTATAACAATAACAGCAACAACAATAATAGCTAACACTACATGCTAGGCACTGTGTTAAGCACGCTGAGCCTCACAACAACCCTGGGAGGTAAATGCTATTATTATCTCCATTTTATAACTGAGAAAACTGAGGCAGATAATGGTTAAGTGACTTGCCCAGGGTGACAACCTGTGATGTCAGATTTGAAATCAATTCTTCTTAACTCCAGGCTCAGTCTCTCTGGCAACCTGGATACCTCTATGTTATATAATCTTTCCCTCTTCTGAACTTCCTTACTACCATCAAGGGCCCCACCATTCTTCTAGTCACCCAAGTTTGCAATCTCAGGGTTACTTTAGACTCTTCACACACATTCACCCCTATAGCCAATAAATTTTGCTGAAATTGCTTCTTCTATAGCTTAGACAATGATTTTCGAAGAATATATTCATGACAGCAAAAGGGCCATCAGAATCACTGAGTGTGTTCCATTCTGGCCCTGTACCG